CTAGATCTGTGATATCCCCTACTTTTCTTCTATTTGGATTCCTTAAATAATTGTTCACATTTTGAGCCATTCCCATTTGACTTTCTTATGTCCAATCGTGAAAACCTAAACTTTGAAATCTTGAAAGCAAAACCACCTGATCTTAATCGAGAGTTTTCTTAAATGACTCCTAGTTATTTAAGATATAATTAACTATAGGGGTTTGCCTCTATAGGGAACCAGGAACCTAGAAAAAATAAACCCTATCTAATTTTTATGTTAGATAGGGGAACTTGTTGGCCTTTTTATAAAAATATTTCGCAGACCAAACGGATGTCACAAATTGTTTAGTCTAGATGATTAAATCCCTATTACAAGTAATATATTTATTCTTCGGGATAAATGTATTGCTTGTAGTATTGTATTAAATCATCTAAACTATTTAAAAATGTGAGACTCATTTGGTCTCACTTATTTTAAAAATTAAAATGTTACTTCTTTAAAAAAATTATATTTATATTTAAATTATTTTCAAAATCACAAAATCATCACCTTTTCAAACTACGAAAGTTAAGTTGAACAATAAAACGGCCGACACTAACCTAATCTATCAAGGTTTTCAAAAGACTATTTTTTTCATTGTTTTTTTTCACATATAGAAAGCAAACTATTAATAATCTTAAACTGACAATGATACAATTTATCGGATAAGCTAAACAACAGATCTAAAATAGTATTCAATTAGGCTTGATCACTCTTCAGGATATGTTCATCACTATCCGAACAAGATAAAAGTATTTTTTGTAAAAACAAATTTTTCATTTGTTTTATTTTTTTTGTTTCAATATCTAAGTAACTAATATGTTGCATACAAATATGCAGGAAATCTAATATAATTAACAATAACTATATAGATATAGTGACATTGATATATAAGATCACAACTCAAACAAAGAGCAAAAATACAAAGAAACCCTTTTTTTTTTTAAAATAGGATAATTAACTAAAAGGGAAAGTATAAAGCCAAAAAGCTACAGTAGGCTTATAAAATACTAAGAAAGAAGCAAACTTAACAAGCTTGTTTTTTATCTTATATTTTAAAATCCACTAGAACCATCCAACTCTGATATGAGAGAGAACCTCTAAAACTGGTAAATCAATATCCACATTAGTTGCACGGGATGTAGAAGCTAAAACAAAAGAAATAGTAAGGGCAAGCACATCAGATGCCGCTTTAAAAAAATCAATTGTCCCTTATTTTGGGAACAAGTTGCCACTGATGAAGCAATAAGCATTAAAGGAGAAGGGATACCATGAACATTTTGGTGAACTTAGTGATCTTCAACAAATGATGATTTTATTAAATCCAAATGGGCCTCGAAGCACTCAGAGTGAATGTAGCCAAAGATCTTACAAAAAAAGTGAAACTAGCAGAAGCCTTTAAATTATAATTATAAGACAAAGAACCAATCTACTCCTTGTTAAGAAGAGGCAATATCCAATTTCACGAAAACTCCAACCACTGACTGCCCAGAAAGATAGACAATAGTCCAAAGGATTGCCAAAAATTGATCCCATTGACTATAAAGTTGATTGATCAAAATAATATAAATGTAAACAAGAAAAGTCACCCAAAGCGATTCAGCATCCGCATCAGCAAGTACCTTGCATGGTATGTATGGCAAGACATGATTCAAGTGCAATATGAATCCAAAAAATGTTTGACAACAATATGATGATGATAAAAAAGATCAAATAAAAATTTACTAATCAACTACAAATCTAACATAAATTTGTAATAATATCCATATTGAGACGACCCAAAGAGAAAACTCCAACAATAGTGAAAGAGAACGATCAAGCAAGTTTGGATCTCAATATCAATGAAAAAAAGTACAAGTTTGTCTTGAAAAGAAACTTTCTTATGTAAATGAGGATCTTCAGCTTGATGAAAGAATAGTGAGGATTGAATTTAACCCAAATTCGGCAACCCACTCACCACATTAGCAAAGGAGTGAGAAATACAGGCAAAAGACAAAAGAACCTCGCACATGACCAAAGGTGGGTTAGAAGACACCACTAGAGTCCTAGAAGACAAAGGTGGAGGAATCTCATAAATGATCAAAACCATCAAAGAAGGGGCCTAAGGTGGATCAAAGGAGATGCCATAACCTATGTTCCTGCAAAGAAAGATACAAGTGAGCATATGTAGAAAGAGAAGGAAAGCTGAGATGAGCAGCCCAAAATAAGTGAGGAAACGATGGGAATAAACTCAAAATGGGGAAAGAGAAGACCAACTTAAAGATAGAGGTCAAAGAGGGGAAATGTGCAGCGAGCCCTAACCTAGAAGGATAGAAATAACCACAAAGAAAGCTTCAAAAGAAGGACGAGTAGGAGACCCCTCGCAACTAGATGTCCTGTGTCCCAAATGAGTGTAGCTATACAAAAGTATTGAATGGAACCCACACATGCTTGCCAATTGGAACTAGTGCATACGGATACATGTACAAAATTTCATGTAGAGATGAGCATGGAAGCAAGTGTGGAGGGTCGAAACAGTGTGCCAACAAAGCTTGGTTTCTCTCTCGTAGATCGTGTGGCCTTGAGAGATTTCTTTTACTACTATGAGAGGTGGGAAGGAGGGAGTAGTCCATTTGAACATTTTAGGGTTTGAGTCCTGTCATTATCCATCTAGGTTTTAAACATTTTGTTACCTTTACTAATGATCATCATAATACTACTTGGGTTTACTTACCCAAATAATGATTATATGTCTATCTATATTTTACACATTTTCTCAGAAAATTAAAGTTCAATTTTATGCCATAATTAAGACTCAAAGAGATGACAAATTGATAATGCCTTGTAACATATGTAATATTAATTCCAATCAATTTCTGTTCATCATGGAATTATTTACTGAATATATCCTACCATTTTTATATGCCTTTGTCAATTCTTTCTAACATAAAGCATTACAAGATATTTGATAGAAACAAGCTATGTATACTAAAATGGTTTCTTTGCTTAATTGATGAACATGAGATCATGCTACAAGTCCTATTGACATTAAATCAATAACATGATGATAGATATACACCATCAAGTTTCCTCCAAATGGAAACATTATTAGGTACAAGACTAGTTTTACTCCTAAAGGGTTCAATCAAATCAGTGGGATCAACTATGTTCACACTCCCAGGATGCCTGACTCAACTTTGTCGAAATTCTTTTTTTCTATTGCCATCAATCAAGGTCTTCTCTTGCTACAAATGGATATAAAAAATATTTTCCTCAACCTCAATATCATGGGTGTGTTGCCCAGAAGAAGAACAAAATATGCAAGCTAAATAAATCCATATATGAACTTAAGCAAATTCCTCAAGCTTAGTTCAAGAAATTTTGCAAGGTTGCTACAGAGGTTGGCTTTCTTAGCAGTTCAATAAATCATTCCATCTTCATCTTCAACAGATATTATTCATTCAGGTATATTATCATGGTAGTCCATATTGATAACATACTCCTTATTGAAAGTGATCACAAAAATACACCTGTGTGTCAATAGAACAAAGCTCTCATATTTTCCTTTGGCTTTGGTTCAATATGGCCACTTGCTTCTATCAGCGTCAATCAAGCCATGTGAGCACATGAAAATATTCAGCCTAGGAATAAATAAGGGGATTTCATAAAGTTGCATTCCATCAAAATAAGTCAGGTATGGAAGATTTGCATTAAAGGAATAACAAGTAAATCGCATGTTTAAGCTTGGGTAGGAGCTGGTGATAATTAAGTAGAAATCAGAATTTCACAAAGTTAAATTTCAAATAATATTTAATCGACAACAAACTAAGAAAAAAAGCGCCACATCAACATAAGAGTAAAAAATTTGCAGCCTGTTAAAGGGTTGTTACCGAGGAAATCATATAATTTTGAGCAAGAACTTTGAAGGATGCATGTGCAAATGAAATAATTGCAGAAATAAGCTAAAGTTTCCATTTGTTCTAAATCTCATGGTATATCAAAATATAATTAATAATGTCAACAACAAATCTGTTACACATTCATATGATGTTCGTTAATTAGACTTTAACTCATAGTATGTTGAAGATTGGTAAACAAGCATAATGATGTGCCTTGTAACTTACTTGAAATGTCTCAACTTTGTACAGTGGAAAATTTTCAGTGCAGTCTCGTGCCTTGGAAGTAGTTTTGTTTTGAAATACTATTATCATCCTGTACAATTTTTCTTTGCCAAACTGGTTGAAAATAGCTTGTACGGTTGCCAACTTGACAGGTTCAGGTCCGCAGAAGATAACAAGTATCTGAAATGAAAGATCAAGCTTTCATCTTTAGAATAATGCATCGAATAGAGTGGTTGAAGTCTTGAGACCCATATGCATTAGTTGTTTGAAGCATGCTAAAGAGAACTCAAACTCAGAAATGCAAAATAATAAAGAAAACTCGTATGTGCTGCTATAAGCAAATTGGTAATAAAACTCAAGGTCTTCTCTCAAACTTAGGGGTTTGGAATGGTGGTAGAGGTGTGGTGCGGTTCACACCACACTACTTATGTGTTTGGCAAAACTACATTTAGTTGCTTTCTCAAAATACTATGGTGGTGGGAAAATTGTATCTTACAACCTGACCTGACTAAATATGGTGGCTGCTAGAAAGCTGCGATCTGACATTTTGAAATTAAAAAAAAATTAGAATAGTTACTGCAGCTTCTTGAATAGTAGTTTCTTCTGCAACACATTCACAGCTACCTCAAACAAACCCTTGGTCTTCCAAACATCATGTTGTAACCCTAGTCAGTGTTTAATTGATAGATTCATTTTTCTCACGCCTAAGTAAAAGAGTTAGGGTAGTCAATATTTCTATTTCAAACTGTGGAGAAACCTTGGGGTTAGGGGTGGCTGAGATAAACTCTATATAATTGCATATAATATGAAATGTTAACCCTACATTATCTTGCAATCATGTATATTATAGAGGTTTGTCTTAAATTTTAGATAATCACCTTCACCATCTCTCAAAATCGTCATCATCCTTAAGTCAATGACAAGAATAGCCAAAGTCAATATAGATAAAGCTCAATAAAATTAAATTGACATTTGAGCTAGCCATATTTAACACAATCTAATACCCCTTCCCCCCAAATCCCCCCCC